TAAATGTAGTTACCAAATAGGTTTTTAGTTTGTTGAGAGTACGAGTTTCACATCGGTCAAAATAGACTTTGTATGTGTTTATAACTAATTGAGTTATTCCTCATATAGCCAATTGATTTTATGGTGGAATCCCAACTTTCTTCATAGTATCAGAGCATGTTGTCACAATTGTGAAACCCAGTTGCCATACGTACTTCACATCACCCGATTGTGTTATTCACGTATTAGGCTTGAAAGTTCGTCACATGTGAGGGGGTGTGATAGGACTATAAATCCCACATCGCGAGAAAGAGGGACATTGCTTGCCAATTGATTTTATAGTAGAATCTCAAGTCTCTTCGTAGTTTTCAAAAAATAAAAACAAAAAATAAATGGTTGCTACTAAAAAAACTGCATATTAAGACATAACTTCACCCAAAGCTACTTATTACTACGGTCTAGTGGTAGTCCTTTTTATGGGTAAGTGAGAGGTTTTACGTTTGATTCTTGCTAAACTCGAATTTGAACCACATTATTACTAGCCCATTATGAGGCTAAGCTCCACCCTCTCTTCTTAGTATAGATAATATCAATTGTTCAAAAAAAAAAAACTTCACCCAAATAGGATGCTCCAGTTATCAAAGTTTCTGCTAATTAAAAACTTGTTTGTTGTATCTCTAAAGTTTGATGCCAAGACGTAATGTAGCAAAATTGTCTTTTATTCAATTGTAATTTTAAAAGTGCATAAACTTTTCAGTCCTGCGATCCAACAGTAAATTAAGGGTAGTGCTATTTACACATTTTTTTACCTTCTACATACCCTTATTAATATTTGTCTATTAATCTTCTTCAATTGAAAGGAATGTGTGAGAGGTACAAATAGGTGTCACTGATTGTGTGAGTAATTTTGCTTGATTAAACCCTTCACTCAAGGTTAGGATGCTAGACTGCGTGTATATATCCAATAAGGGCCTCTCTCACAAGTAGAACGCCCTTCTGCAGTATCAATCAAGTTAATCTTTACTGATAAATTAAGCTCCTTCGATCACTGCTAGTAAGACCGACGAATTCGGTTGAAGAAATCACAGATTCGGCATTTCTAATACTTGCAAGACCTCCCTTCAACTCAAAATCGCGTGTTTGTTTGTTGAACTGTACGTTTGACCAACTTATATACCTCATGTTCTTGCTATCTGCAACTTCGTTGTAGTAAGTTACAGCCAAAGTAGGGAGAAGCTTGAGTTCCCCTCGCCCTGTAATCTTCAAGACCTGTGAAAATCATGCGTGTGCATGGCATCTGTCTGTACTGCATGAGAGGTTTCAATCAAAACATGATTCAGCAAGGCATATAATCTAATTAATTGTTTAATTCTTAGTTTATACTCCTACAAAAAAATTAAATTCTTGGTTTATATATACTCTAATGAGCAAGTTCTCTACTGATTTTCCCCCACATTATTAGTATATAAGCTAAGTTTAGGAGAACTTTTTCTAAGTATCCGGTATTTAAACAGATGTTCCACGTGTCATAATGCAAGTAGAGGAACATATAAATATATATCATTTCCTCCACTTGTATTATAAAATATAATTGTTTTTTCAACAGTGGAAAGAAAAGAAGATTGATTTTTCGTACTTTTTTGGTTAGATTGTTTTGAAACTTGAAACGAAGTACCAATCTCTAGATTCATATCGGAAGAACGTTATCCTCTTGTCATATATTATACAATCTTGATAATAAAAATTCAAAAAATATTCATGATCAAAAAAAACTTTCTGAAGAAACACTTCGTTTCTACTAAGAACGTTCAAGTGTTTTTTTTTTTTTTTTTTGAGTACATTGATATTTTTACACGAGAGGGAGGGGAGTTCAGCTAAGTCATACAATGAGCAACCTAATTTGGCATCGAATTTTCCATCTACGAGATTTGAACCTAAAACATCTCACTTTTAAACGAAGAGAAATATCACCAGATCGTAGTACTGATTGACAAGAACGTTCAAGTTCTAAGTACCTTGCTTCTTATTAAAGCAAGCACCTATTTCTTTAATTAAAAATTTAATTTATTTTTAATAAAATATTTTCAACAAAAGCATTTATATAAGGAGACGATTTACAAATATATTATTATATTATGTATACCACATCTTTTCTTGTCATAATCGAATTAATGCTCCATAGGAATAAGGCTATTTTTTCTTAACACGGTATATAAGACTATTTGACTCTGATTGAGAATGCTTGGGATATAATTGAAGGGAAATTCAATAATTTTTGTTTGAAACATTAATTAACAACCGTCAATGCCGGCAAGAAGCCATTGTCAATTAGTCATATACGATTCTTATCAATTTAATTAAGAATTGAAACATTTGTGGTTGAATGTATGTGTCCTGACATTAGGGTTTGGAAGATAAGTGACTTGATTTGATATGTAGACCGAGTAATGGAAGGAAGTATTCAATGTTTTTGTTTTTTTTTTTTTTTTTTTAAAGGATGCCATTTTATAAAAAAAAAATTCAAATATTCGGACTTGGATTAAAATTACACCAAGGTTAAGTCAAATTATACTTTGTATGCAATGTGAGAGCAACAAAAGTCATCTTCTATATTTGGGCCAAATAAGTAAATCATTGCGTATGAAGAGGTTAAGGAGTAGAAGGTGATTTTGCATTATCAGGAAGAGAATGTTTGGTTAAAATAACTTCACTAACATGTGTTCGTCTTCCTCAACCTTGGTATGGTATGAACCCCCTCTACCGGCCGTCCTTGCTTTCTCTACTTGATTTTTCTTGGTTTTCCTACTTTTCGATTTTGAAATTAGTGTTCATATCTGTTCTTACAAGTTAGTCTCATTTTCCTAAAGTGTCATATCCATTTTTTAGTTACATTTTATTTTTGGTGTTTTAATCTTATTATGCACGTTTATAGTTTTTAGGCTTTATTTTAGTTGGGTCAAACCCTTTGGCTTTGTTTGGCAGTTCGGACTGTACTGACTATTTCAGTCGGATAAGATAATTTGTCATCAGATAGTACTGACTAATTAATCAGACGTTTGGTACAATATCGAATTAATAATCGTATTATTTATATTATGCTTGTACTGTACTGGATAAGATAACTTAGAACTATTTTTTTTAAAAGAAAAAAATTAATCATTAATGAAAAAGAAAAAGAATAAAAACAAAAAACAAAGTGCAAAAATAATCCAGTTTAATGATTAATGGAAAAGAAAAAGAGTAGGAAAAAAAAGTTGTCAAATGCAGAAAGAACCCAGCAGCCATTACACCAACGTGGGTGGATGGTGTTAAGCAGCGGCGCGGAGCACAGACATGCAGGTTCAAGTGGTATAGGCTGAAGCAGAGGTGCGATGGCAGGTTTCCAGGAGTGAGGTTCTCGGGTCTGGGATCTGGCAAACAGCGACAACGAATTGTGACAGATACAAGGTCTGGGTTCTGGGCTTCAACTCAACGTAGCTCGGCTTTAGACTTCCAACTCCCACATGAAATCTCTCCCAATTTCGAATTTAATCCCCACACACCAACAAAATCAATTAGCAATTAAGCCACAAACCTAGATATTCGAATCGTGATGCCCAGAAACGGAGGTCACGGTGCCCATTTGGGTTCGATCTGCTACCTCCAGTTCTCTGTTCGCATCTGCTTTGTGTGGATCGTTCGATCTGCTACATCTGGATCTTTGTTCGTATCTGCTTGGTGTTAATCGGAGGTTGCGACCCCCAAAAACTGATGGCAGGATAGGCCTGAGAAAGGAGAGCGTGATTTTTCTTTGGCAGAAGTCCGACTAATAATACCAAGGTTGCGGGGGATAGTGAAGCAGGTAATACCAAGGTTGCGGAGGGGATAGTGAAGCAGGTGGGAGGGGTATTAAAATGGTGGGCCGGATTAAATAATTCAGTGCTTATTTAATATCAAATTTACCAAACACCGGTTTCGTATTATTAGTATTATCCAATGATTTTATACAGCGTGTCAAACGAGATTCAACAAGGCATATAATCCAATTAATTGTTTAATTCTTAGTTTATACTCCTACAAAAAAATAAATTCTTGGTTTATATATACTCTAATAAGCAAGTTCTCTACTGATTTTTCCCCACATTATTAATATATAAGCTAAGTTTAGGAGAGCATTTTCTAAGTATCCGGTATTTAAACATGTGCTCCACTTGTCATAATGCAAGTAGAGGAACATATAAATATATATCATTTTTTTCACTTGTATTATAAAATATAATTGTTTTTTCAACAGTGGAAAGAAAAGAAGATTGATTTTTCGTACTTTTTTGGTTAGATTATTTTGATACTTGAATGAAGTACCAATCTCTAGATTCCTATCGCAAGAAACTTATCATCTTGTCATATATTATACAATCTTGATAATAAAATTTCAAAAATATTCATGATCACAAAATACTTTCTGAAGAAACACTTCGTTTCTACTAAAAACGTTCAAGTTCTAAGTACCTTGCTTCTTATAAAAGCAAACACCTATTTCTTTAATTAAAAAATTAATTTTTTTAATAAAATATTTTCAACAAAAGCATTTATGAGGAGATGGATTTACAAATTTACCGGATAAATTCTTTATGAGCATTTTAAAGACTGTTTTATTAAAAAAAAAAAAAAGTTGTAAAGACTGTTTTCCCACTCTTTGGGTGATAAAAGGATTATTTTGAACAAAATATATTATTTACACTAAGGGATAGAGAGGGAGGGGGTGACCTTAGCCTCACAATGGATTAGTAATAATGTGGTTTAAATTCACATTTGGGAAAAATCGAATTTAAGACTTTTCACTTACAAATAAAGAACAATACTACTAGATCTAATACGAAGTGACGGCTAATAAAAGAATTATTAAACGTGACAAATATACGAAATAGGTCGGTAACTTGGAAAGGTAGCATCTCGTGAGGCCCATTAGACAGGGCCCAACAACGACCCAATTAACCATCCGATCTGTTCTTCTTCCTCCAAACCCAAAGCTTTGATCCGACGGCTTGTTGTTTACGTTGTCTGAAACCCTAAATCTCACCGACCAATTATTCCGCACGAAAAATAAAAAATCTCAGGGTTGTCGAGCATGAAGGAGGGCGCTGCCTAAAGGGCTCGAGTCCCATGAGAAAAAGATGCTCGTTAGAGCAACCCTACACCTCCTCCTCCATCGGCGCACGTTAGCCCCTTCGAGTCTCCATCCGGTCCGATCGCCATGTCGAGGTCCGTCGCCTTTCCTTTCTGTTTTTTTCTGCTTTTTGTTTCAGCTAGGGTTTGGGTTTTTTGTGACGATTTGTTTTAGTGATTAGAAAGCAATCGCCTTTTATTTGGAAACATTGGAAAATTGGGTAGTTGTTTATAATTCTTGATTTTCGTTTTTGATGTATGAATCATTGTTGCAAATGGGAATGGAGTGTCGATTTTTTTGACAAATGAAACGATTTTTCTATATGTTTGCGAATTGGAATGGTAATATGATGATTTTAATTGGGTTGGTATTTGCAATGCAGATTTTTGACCTTAAAAAGCTTTAGAAAAGTAGCGAATACGGTTGTTAAAAGCCCGAAACAGAGTTTTCCGGAAGCGGAAAAGTATGGGACAATTGTTAGAATTGGCCTACATCATCCCCAGTACAGATTCTACTGGGACTATACGGTTCCTACTAGAGGACATGCCACATTCTCATTGTACAATACCACAAAGGGTTCTTACCGGAGTAATTATTCCGGAGTTTTTCTGTCATTCCTGAAAGAAGTGCAGTGAGACATCATGCCCAACTTGCTTGGAAAAGGCTCTCCGAAAGATTTTCCTCTAGTGGTCGTGGATTCTCGCGTATAAATAATTTTGCACAAGCTTTCAGCTTGGCTGTAACCCGTTCTAACCTGTTGCTTCCTGGTATTTTTGCCTTCACAAGTGGGAAGCTAGCATGGTCACAGAGGTCTTTGGCAGAAACGGAATACCAACCACCAGGAAATACTTTGTACATGCGTGCACAGGATGGACATGCTTTTATGACCTCATTAGCGTTTGCAGTTTTAGAAGGTGCAATCTTGATATTCAGAGCAGTCGCCCTAGGAATCTTGTTCACACCCAGCATAGTGATGGCTGCATTTGCTGACTGCTTTGGACCTGAGTTTAGGAAGTTGTGGCTTCATGTTGTTCACCGAACATTGGAATTGGCAGGTCCAGCTTTCATCAAATGGGGTCAATGGGCAGCTACACGGCCTGATCTCTTCCGAGAGATTTATGCACTAAACTCTCTGAGCTTCACACCAAAGCTCCAGAACATAGCTTTGCCTACACGAAGAAAACTATCGAACGAGCGTTTGGACGCAAGCTGCCCGAGATTTTTGACAATTTTGAAGAGAAGCCAGTAGCATCTGGAAGTATTGCTCAAGTGCATCGAGCTACTTTAAGATTTAGATACCCTGGTCAACAGATGAAGCCCATAGTAGTTGCAGTAAAGGTTAGACACCCCGGTGTTGGTGAATCAATTAGGAGAGATTTTGCTATAATCAATCTGGTTGCAAAAATTTCAACTTTCATTCCTGCTTTAAAGTGGTGGAGATTGGATGAAAGTGTGCAGCAGTTTGCAGTTTTTATGATGTCTCAAGTTGACCTAGCGAGGGAAGCTGCCCATTTGAGCCGCTTTATTTATAATTTCCGTAGATGGAAGGATGTCTCTTTCCCAAAGCCTGTGTATCCACTTGTGCATCCTGCTGTTTTGGTGGAGACTTATGAACAAGGGGAATGTGTCTCACACTATGTTGATGATCTTGAAGGGCATGATCGGATTAAATCTGCACTTGCTCACATCGGGACACATGCACTTTTGAAGATGCTCCTGGTAACATTTATACCCTTCATGTTTGTTGCAATGCATTTCTGCTTTAGAACTATGGTGATTGCATTGTGTCTGAACCTCATAAGCATCTCTTTGTATGTTAAGTTAGTGATTTCTACTGTTTGATATAGCTGAAGGTTGTCTTAATACTTTAATAAGAAAAAGCATAATTATCGTATGCGTGAATTAGCTGATGACTATAAGCAGCTGACGACAGTCCCCATGCCCAGCTTGCTATTGTGCATTATGTGTAACTTTTTATTTTCTTTTTTGTTCAGTACGTTCTAAGTTAACAGAATCTCTTCCTTCAGGTGGACAACTTTATTCATGCGGACATGCATCCTGGAAATATCCTTGTCCGGGTGGCTCAGAACAAGTCTTCTAGGAAGAGACTCTTCAAATCAAAGCCACATGTCATTTTCCTTGATGTAGGCATGACTGCTGAACTCTCTAAAAATGATAGAGTAAACTTAGTGGATTTTTTCAAGGCGGTTGCTTGTCGTGATGGGCGCACTGCTGCTGAGTGCACACTCAGACTATCAAAGCAACAGAAATGCCCTGACCCAAAGGCTTTCATTGAGGTAATGATTGGAAGTTTATTTGTAATTCTACGTATGCTTAGGGAACTCAATTCTCTTTAACTTAATTCACCATAAAAGGTTTTGCCTCTTGTTTGGTTAGCTCATTAAATAAATTGCAAATTTTATTTCCCCTTTAAATATATATTCATCATTAAGCTTATGATTATGTAAAGAAAAATTTCATGTTTGGAAATATTTTGAATCAAACTTTCCCTGGTAATAATTTCTTGTCTCAAAGTGTGAATTCTATTAATCACAGTTGTAAGGTGTGATGTGTACTATTCACTCCTTGTTTCATTTATTCGTGTATTAAGGGTTGTAGTCAAGTGCAGTTCTTAAATGTTATTACGTACTTGAGAAGCTTGCTTTACAAGTTTCCCTCAATCTACTATTGTTCTTACAGGAAGTGGAGGAGTCATTTGCTTTCTGGGGTACTCCAGAAGGTGATCCAGTCCATCCTGCTGAGTGTATTGAGCAGTTACTGGAGAAAGTTAGGCGTCACAGAGTCAATGTTGATGGCAATGTCTGTACTGTCATGGTAACAACTTTGGTACTTGAGGTGATTCCGTTTTCCTTTATATATCCACCACGGCTGAAGCATGGCTATTCTCTTATGAAATGAAATCTGTTGTTGCATTCTGTAATCCTTGCAATACAAGCACGAGCAATTGCTCGTCTGTTGTTGATTGCTTAACTCCTTTCTGCTTCTCTTTATAAAGCCAATTTTGTTTTCTTGTAAAACTAAAACGAATGGGATTAGATTTCACAACTGATGGTTGATTATTTGAGTGATTTCGTCGATAACTGCTCCCCATATCTGACTGACTGTGTTTTGCAGGGATGGCAGCGGAAACTCGACCCTGGGTACGATGTGATGCACACATTGCAAACGCTACTTCTCAAAGCCGACTGGGCAAAGTCCGTTTCCTACACAATTGAGGGGCTAATGGCTCCATAAGAAGGTCGTTGTCAGTGCTACTGCTACAATTACAAAACCAATTTTGACACTTTTGAATCCCAAAATATACCATTCCCAAGAAAAACGGACACAAATGCTTGGATCTTTAATTTTATTTCATTTTATTCAATATTTTGAAGGCTCAATCCTTTGTGTATTATTTAGCTTGTTTTCGGCGAAAAACGTTTCCTGTTTTGAAGCCTGAAGCAAAAACAGTAGTGGAAAAAATAGAGAAATAAAGTGAAGATGTATTCTTTCCTGTACAGCTTGCAGTTTTACAAATTAATGCCTTCCTTGAGATTATTTACTCGACATATCTGTTTACGGCACTTATCATTGTTGTTTAAGTTACTCTCCCCTCGTCTCCTCTTGCCAAGAACAAAACAAAAAACATGAGTAGAAATTTTCTCTCGTCGGGTCGGATCGGATCGATCCAGTTGGAACTACGAACTTGATATTACCAACAAAATATAGAATCAATCAAATCGCAAGATTTCAATGCAACGGAATAGAGTGAACAAAAACAGCTAGTTACGAGGAATAGAGTGAACAAAAACGTACGGAATAGACGAAACCGTTACCCTAATGACTTGACCATTAAAAGCTACAATAGCTACACTCGAAAAGTTAGTTTTCGCTCGCTAGTTCTCGTGCCATCCGAAAAGCGTTCAGTAGTGACTCAGACTCGAATGTTCTATGCCATAAAGGATCGGAAAACATCATGGTTATATGTCGTGAAATGAAATTATACCAGCATGTACTCAGACGCTACTTGCTGGGTAATGAAGCAGGGTTTCGAGAAACATTCCCGTCTGATGTAAGATCAATGCTTCCCATTCCTTCTGCTTCTTGTTCTCTGCTGGGAAGGAACAATAACGCTTAGCTCTTTTATCGCAACCGCAACAAATGAAGAATGTATATACACCTCTCTGTATTATAGAATCAAAACAAATGAAAGTAGCCTCTCCACGATCTACAGCTGATGAAGTTTCCAGATGTTCCTTGAAGATATAGCCGTGATCATCTAACCATTACCTGTAAGGAACATGGTAAGTGCTTAGACAATCCTGCAGTATTCATGGCAGTGAACAAAACAGACAACTATACTTTCTCAGAATGGAGAGAATGAGCGGGCGAGCCAAAGTTTACACACACACACACACACACACAATACATGCATCATCATTCCATATGCCAGTCGATGTAGAAGCATGATTTAATAGGAAAATAGTTCTATACCTTTTATTTGAATATGGATAGAGTCCAACAATTTGGGGACCTAGAGCCTCAGCAACGCAACATTTACAAACAGGCAGCGGATACTCGACAATCGTTTAAAATCCCAACTGTCATGCAACATCTTGACATGTCCAAGGAAGAATCTCCATTTGTTTTATTTTTTCTGAAAATTCTGCAGGTGCTAAATGTTGGAAGCACGAGGAGATAAATGTCTTCCTCAGCAGGGGCACTTACATTGCACAAGTAAGCTCACGTATTTCTTTGATTGCTGAACTAATACTATTAAGGGCCATTCTCTTCACCTGCATTTCATGACAAGGCATACACTTTCTATCACTGATCAATTTTTATGCATATTATGGAGAAAAAATGACATCTCGTACTAATATCAATGAAAGTTCACCTCTAGCTTGTCAACTTTTGCTTTATGGTCTGCTGGAAGCAGACGGACTTCATCAGTTAACTGGATGCACTCGGCAACATTTTCGGGTGATACAAAGTCCAGCACCACATGCACACAAGACTGCATGTCAAAAGAAACAGAATGTCCAATATTGTGATAATTGGCGGAAACAATAAACTTATCTGCATAATAAGTGCAAGTCCTGTAAAAATTCTTGGTAATCATTCCAAAAACTCAGAAGTAGTAAAATATGAAAGATTCAAAAGGTTTTTCTGAATACTAGATCATAAAAGTGTCACACACCTTAGAATTCCTAATCTGATATGGGCATCCAGCAGGTATGATAACAGCTTCTCCTATGTGTTGCTCGAAAGTCCAAGGCTCAATTTCTGGTGACAATGAGTGGTGGGTTAACTTCAGTTATTCATAATTCAACCAGTGATTGAAATGACACAAATTACACTTACTAAATTCCTCCTTGAGCCTTAATTTGTGACTTGAGTCTAGAAAGAAACTCTGATCAAGAATGGGATGAACAACCTGCAGTAAGCGTGGACATCAAAAAGTAAGATAGTGTTTAACCTGATATGCTCAAATGCTGTAGCTATAGGTTTTGGGCTTACATGCTTATGAAAGTCAAATTTACGAGCGAATTCATTAGAGTGCCTTCTGAGATATTCTATAAGTTTTGGGACGTCTTGTCTGCGAAACACATCCCATTGGGCACCACAAGACTTGTCCAAGGTTTGCTTTTCATAGCTATTGCAGCTGTCGACCAGAACCTCACACTTTGTATCTTTAGATGTTTCAGCATCATGAAGTCTCCCAGAGCTACTTAGTGTGGCTTCAGAATCAGTATCAGAATCAGATGTATCAGCATCTGTGCATGCTTCATGCGTGGAGAAGCAAGACTCTCTAGCAATTCTTTTGCGTAAATGCATCTCCTCTCCGATCACATTATGTAGCCCTGCTTCTTTCATGGTTTCACTAAACAATAATGATTCTCCATTGTCTTTTTTTGCCACAAATTGTTCACAAGTAACCCTAGAAACCTCCCTCTGATATTGAGCCTTGTGCTTTTTCAGTAACTTTCTTATTTTTGAAACTTGTTCATCAGAGATAGGGACATCTGATGTATGTGCCAAAATGTTAACCTAGGGTCAAAAAAATCGACTGAATAAATGAAATGGAACACTTAGATCTGAAAAAATAAATGTTACCAAAGAAAAGCTAATCTTTAACAACCAAAAAATATATAAAAATGGTGAAGGTTTAGCAAACAGCTTATGGTTTTCTATGTATTCTTCCACCTAAATTTTTACTCAAATGAATTTACCAAGACGTTAAATTAATGCTTGGTGAAGTTGTCCAGGTGAGGTGAGACTACATAGGTATCAACCTATAATTTCAAATAAAATGCACGGAAAGCATTTACAGTTTCTTCAACAATTAATATGATATGGTGCCTACTTGTCCAATTGCAGCACAACCTCAAAAGAAACAAGAGATCACTTGACAGTAAAGTAATAGGAATAATTACAAGGCATACCACATCATATGAGTCATAACATAGCTTCATCACTGCATTAGCTTGTACAAGTTGCTCAGTGCAGCCGTATGATATATAAACACACGGACCTAGATCAGGTTTTGGGATTTCTTGTGGCATCCTAGCAGCAAGATTTAAAAGACCAGACATGGGATTCATGTATTCTTGAAGTGGTAGAGCTCGTATTACTTCAGCGTAATGAACCGGAAATTGTTCCTGAAACAACTGCGAAGAAAGCCAACCCTTCAACTTCAGTGTCTCATTCCATACATTTCGTTGGGCCTGCCCCCTTAATGAACCCATGAAATACTGCCTGATTCCAAGTTCCACCTGTCATAATATATATAAGTTTTTCTTTTAGAAGAAAGAAGGCCGGAGGGTAGGAATATAATCATGTGTACTTGAAGAGTTTAGAGATAAAGGAGGTAAAAATGCAGAGGACTATCAGTTTTCTTTTTAAATGCTAAATTTGAGAATGGGATTAGGTGTAGAAATTGTGAATCAAAAGATAAAGAGAGCAAATTTACAAGCCGTAGAACTCCACTGACCTCGCACCAATCCAAGCAGTGGATAGCTTCATTTGAATTTGTGTTATTCTCATATCTAGCAATGCTCCCTTCAAGATAAGTGCAGAACATGGACACTGGATCCCAAGTCAAATCTGATGTAGTTTGAAGTACATCTCGGACTATTACAGGATGACCTTTACTCCAGTGCTTCTGAAAGTGCTCAACATTATCACCATTTGTGCCCAACAGCGTTGGGTAGTACAAGTAGTTATCGTTTGAGTTCTCTCTCACTGAAGCTTCTTGCAACTGTTGAATCCCATCAGTTTTCTGGTCCACTCCCAAACATAGTGGACAGCACAAAGACATGTCAGCAGTTTCTGGAAATTCATAGCTGCATACTATTTCTTCTGCACTTACTTCTAGGTCTTTGATCCAACTTAATGGAAAAACACATCTCAAATCAAGGAGGCTGTCACCACAACCTCCAAGCTCCTTGGGTGGGCAAGATATACCATTAACAGCATTACAAGATTTCAAGCTAGGTACTGATGCAGAAGAAGGGTACGAACTGCGGAAACTTTGCTTATGGGTGGTTATTGGCTTCTTTACAAGTTGCCCCTTACGAGAGACGCAAGTTTTCTTTTTGTTAGCCTGCTTCATGAGAGTTGTGTTTATACCACCAAAAAGGCTCCCACCTAAAAGATCTCGACAGCAACTTAGACAAAGGTTATAGGAACAATTTGGGCAGCTTCTATGGAGATCCACTATTGAAGCTTTGCATTTATTGCTGTTCCAAAAGTCATTGATGCACCACAAAATCAATGCAAGATCATTACATAAATTTCACTTTAACCGTTAAAACATTGCAGAATTATAGAACATACCAGCAGTGTTGTTCGTTGCAGCTATATTCAGCCTGCTTGATATGAACTTCAGATAGCTTTTCCCCTGGTATTACGAAGAAGAAGATAGTTTTTTCAGTTATGACCACAAAGTTGGAGCAACATTGTCAGTAGAATTACACACTACCTCTCATTTTTGCCTCTGCTTCTAGCTCAACTTTCTGATCTTGGTTTATTTGTTTTAGCACGGGAAGAAGCATACAAATCAGATAATGGAACTGTAGTATTACTTCAACTTTATTCTTAACCCCCAAATAATCCTGAAAAAAAGGGTGTGCATGATTTAAATCATTAGCATCTAACATCATACGAAGCATGAGCAAGTTCACAAATGTGCCAAATTTAATGTCAGACCTTACTTTCCGCTTCTTTTGATTGATTTTCAGAGCATTCCTTACAGGGGCAAGTTCCTCGACAGACTGGGCATGCCATTTTGACTTCGTCCTTTGTATCAAAGTACCTAAATTGTTTTAAAAACCAAGATTCATGAAGCATCATCGGTTATAACAAGGAGAAGAACTATAGCAAACAGCTTGGGAGCATAACGATATTATTGCAATGAGTTCTATTCCTACCAATGCACTGTCAGATTTGGCCCAGAGAATTGGATTCTCTCTGTGTCTCTACCAATTTTTTCATCTTGTAGGATGCAGAACATTCTACACAATCATGGCTTCTCATATAGATATCAGATACGCAGACAAGGGTGAATTTTCTAGCGTGACAGAAAAATACAAGTTCTTTATAAAGTTTTATTACAAAACTTCAATCTCTCGGATCAAACGAAAGATAGTGGTGAAATTTACATACATTTCAGTATTCAAGGCCAGTATTCTAACTAATGACGACCAAATCCATATAAAAGAGTTGAAACAAGAACTGTGTACCAGCATTGCAGTCTATGAGAATTGGTAACAAGAAACTTAGCTCTAAGATTCAAACATAAATTTGAGGCCATAATCCACAAAACACAAAACAAACCTTTCTTTGATGCAATTCGAGCAAAAGAAGTGCTTCTGGCAACTCGAACACTTAATTAGAGCAGAAGAAACACCGCTCCCTCTTTTTCGACACCAATGGCACCTTCTCCTCTTACCTTTCCTCAACCTCCCCACATTATATGGAAGAACCTAAACCAAAAGAATAAAAATTTCAAAAACCATATGATTATAATTGTTTCTTTCAGTCATTCAACTTACCTGCAATGTGCCAGCAGGAACTGGCTCGATGTTCTTTGACCGAAAGCACCTCCGCCGCGTAGCAACCGGAGGCAAATCAGCCCCGACCTTCCCATCAGAAGACGAATTGGAACCTGCATTGCCGGACCTTAGCCTCGGCGACTGCGAGGAAGATGAAGAGATTGCCATTCGGCCATTAGGCAAGTCTCTGGTGAAATCACCGCCGCCGTCATCGTCGTCCTCATCACCATCCTCACTCTCCTCCTCCACAACATTCTTCTTCTTCGTAGTCGTCTGGTTCCGCTTCTCGACCTCCCTCCTCAGCACCATCCGTATGAGCTCCAAATTCAACTCACTCTTCTTCAACTTCACCTTCCGCTTCTTCTTCTTGCAATTCTTCACCGCCTCGTCGGATCGCTTCCGCTTCAGCAGCTTCACCAAATTCTCCACTTTCCGTGCCCTAATTTTGACTCCGCCGCCGTTGCCGCTGCCGTTTTGATCTTTGTCCCCCGCGTTTTTGGGCGTCCTCTGGAGCTTGAGTGACTCGGGGACTTTCTCTCTGAACTGACGGTGACGGCCTTGGAGATAGTGAATCTCGCAGAGCTTCATGTCGTCCATGACCCTCCGCTTGCACCGCCATTTCCGGCCGTCCGTCCGGCCGCACCGCAGATGGTCCGGCAGCGCACCCTCCTCGCCCATTCCACAAAATTGATCTGATTTTCCCGGAAAATATCTAATTTTCTCGGGAAAACGATGGCGACTGAGAAAAGAGAGACAAAGCAAGGGGCTTTTGAGAAAGGAAAGGGATTATTTTTAGGGGTTTTGGGAATTTTACTTTTTTCGTATTTATTGAGAGAAACAGATGGAGCTTAATCTAAAAGATTGAGTTTTGAGGGGCATATTCCGTAATTAGAGGGGAAGAAGGAGTCCCATTTGGTCTCGAAATCGTGAATCAGGTCAGATTCAAGAAATCAACATCCAAGATAATCTGGTCAGGTTACTACTCTGCAACTCTGCTTCTGCACCGGGTCCTCATATTTTGCAAAAAGAATTTATTTATTTATTTATTTTTTACTGTTATGAATTTGGTTCGACAGGAGGCTGATTCAGTGACAGTTTACTAAATTTGGCTGCAATAGGTTTTTACGATGCATGGGCACTGTGATATCTCTTTGCATTATCGTGTTGTGTTGTATTCTCGAATTGTGTTGTATTGTCGTGTTCGTATCCATACATCGTAGGTTTTTATTTGGTTTTTCTCACTACATATTTTTCAATTTTTCAATTTGGGGTACTTTTTATGCAGCTTTGATTGATAGGTTGTGTTGCATGTGATTAGAGCTCTGAATTCAAAGTTTGGAATTTTGATAAATTGATGTGGCAATTCGAATGCTTTTCAGTTTTTAGTGTGTGTGTGTGTATATAGTTCAGTTTTTTGTATGTCCAAATTTAATGTGCTGTATATATTTTATTTTGGGTTAATTTGCTGCAACTTTGGACTGTCTTTTGTTTATTTGGGATTTAAATAAGGAAGAAAAAGAGAAAAGGAGTGTCCCATGCAACTGCTTATTGAAGTTGTTTTTCTGGCTTTTCTTCATCTGATTGCCATGCAATGCAGCTGCGAACTTGCAATGCTGCATCCGACTAATTCTAATTTTAGTTATTTTAATTGAATTTGTCTGATATTATGCAGTATGTAAACTTTCTTCACTTTCATGAGCAATCATGAGAAACAACATGATTTATAAAAAACATGCATGCTACGTATATCATTGCATTATAATTCAGTTGTTAATTTGTTCGTTTGAAGTTTAATTCATTATGAATTAATTTAGCATGCACTTAAGATTACTCCTTTGTTGTCGACGAGAGCAATTTAGATTATCGCTTTGTCCAAACAGATGCAGCTTTGCACGTTCCATTTCCTGGAAAATGGCATTGGCATTATCTTTTTACAAGTTTTCATGGTCATTTGGAAGAATTATGAAGTTGATAACAAAGAAACGAAAGCCTGCATAGTGTTCCTAGAAAAAACGCGTGGGTTCCATACCAAGATATTGCTATTTCCCGAAGTAGCATGCTGTACATAGCTTTCTAGTTAATTACATGGCTCATTTGTACCTAATTTAATTAAAACAGAATAATGCCTTCATTAAACTTGCTTTTTTTGTTTCATTTGAAAAATACAAATTGATATGAAGTATATATACAATTTGGTTTAACGAACGTCTTGAGATTCAGACAATTTACGATGATATAATTAGTAAATATGTTCTTCCTCGTGTCAACATTATATACATGCATCCTGCATGAAGAATATCTGCATATCATCTTCTGCGGAGGACAATCTTGCCTTCTGCATCTTCATGCACAATGGCTACAACTTCATCAGGAGGAACGTTCCACCAGATCCTAGGCTCCTCTAGCTGATGTCCAATTTGAGCAAATTTATCTGCGGCTCGATTGCCTTCCCTATAAACGTGACTCACAATGCAACCGTTGAGTTTTGGCAAAATCGAATTCACATCGCTAACTTGCCTTTGAACTTCTACACATTTAAAATCTTTCTTTCTTTTCACAATAATATCGAGCAATGCCTTGGCATCTCCTTCAAGCCACACGTCTCTAAAGCCATTTTCTAACACCAACTCGAGGCCTCTTTTTAGGGCTGCCAACTCAGCAATGGTGCTGTTGGCTTCTCCAATGGACTCAGCAAACCCTAGCAAGAATTCTGCCTTGTGGTTCCTAAAGACCCCTCCAATGCTAGCTTTTCCTGTTTTGCCTTTTGAAGATCCATCAAAGTTCAACTTGGTCCATCCAATCTTGGGCTTTTCCCATTTCACCGGAATCATCTTTTTTCGATAATTTCTTACTGAAACCCAACCGAGCTTTGTAGTACTAGTTAGACTTTGGCACCTCCAAATTTTTGTAAAGGCTAACATGATTTCTCCGCTGTAGACTTGTACTAGTTTAATCGGTGGTGTTAAAGAACAACTGAAAACACTTTCAACTATCAAAAACGCTTTCGGCAATGTTTGTTCGATGTGAGCTTGTAACAAAAATGCGCTTCATCGATCATCACGTGTATGGTTTTTCAGAGAGAGCACTTTGAAATGAAACCTTCAATTGATTAAGTACGCAATATGGAATATATAGACATATATCTGCATTTTGATGCTAATCAGAAGTTTAGATTAACTGAAAACCAACACGATTGTGTAAAATGAACTATTGCTTGACGTAATAAAGGTCTTCTCCTTGGTTATGAAGTTGAGTGGAGGCAAAGCAACTAGAAGATTCAGAATTCTGGAACGCTAATTGAGGCAGCAAGCAGCATTTGGATCATACGGTTTATACCAAAATAATATTTATGAAAATTTCCGGAGAGGTTTCTTCAAAATTCGCAAAAGCATATTCTGATTTATATTTTTTATGGGTTTTGTTTGAAGGAAAAGCTTAAGTGTACGACTACTGTTACGTTTACGTACAGGGATGGTTGCAGTTCTGCATGAGGAGTGAATTTTCTATTTGTGTTCATGACATGAACATTGACCTCGATTAATGCTTAATTTGGAATTTAGATCATAAAAAATCTAAATATTCTGCAGTAAACGTCATAATTTTACCAAAAAAATTAGGAAGTGCTTGCAAAATCACTATTCCTGGTCCTCTTTTATGTGTATTTTGTATTTGGGTATAGCTTGTTATATTTAATTAAACCCCTATTTTTTTAAATAAGATTGATATTTTTAGGTTGAAAAAATAAAAAAACTGAGAAAAAGTCAGACCTCATGCTTGCTCTATTGAAGAAATTGAATATATAGATCAAATTAATAATAATTATAACAGTTGTTATTCCCTAATTTCCTACTCTCTTCTCAAAAGTCAAATTCAAAGAAATTAAGGAACAAAATAATTTATCATATTGGTAATTGAGGAGAGACCAATGTATTAAAAGCGTGAGGCTTGGGCGAGGCGTTTGAGGGATAGCCTAGCCTAGGCATGAGGCGAAGCCTCACGGGACCTAATTTTTTTAATATATACACTAAACGTACACATATATTATATTAAAAAAAAGAAGAAGATAATTAATCAATAATCACTCTGAGCACACAAATATATTATAAATACATATACACATATATATACATATATATATATACACACACATACATACATGCATATATATATATATATAATAGAGGATGAAAAGCACAATGAGCACACATATAACAATGCATGCAGACAGCACATACATTCATTATATAAAAAGATAAAAATCAAAAGAAAAAAAAAGGCAGGTAGACAATAGTGGAAGGAAAAGGTATGAGGTAGTTAAAACCCTCCCCAAAATTTGGGTTTGGGAGTTAAAAAAAAAAATATTCCTTTGAGGCACACCTAGGCAGCTCCGGTGACGCCTTCTGCCCACTCTCTCAAAATAGAGGCGGCAACCCTCAAGCCCAGCCTCATAGGGCGCCTAGGCGCAACTTGAGGCGAGCCTTTTAAAACATTGGGAGAGTACTGAACTTCCAATCTCAAAAAGAGTTGCAGGCTATACAATATATATATATATATATATATATATATATAATAGAGGATGAAAAACACAATGAGCACACATATAACAATGCATGCAGACAGCACATACATTCATTATATAAAAAGATAAAAATCAAAAGAAAAAAAAAAGGCAGATAGACAATAGTGGAAGGAAAAGGTATGAGGTAGTTAAAACCCTCCCCAAAATTTGGGTTTGGGAGTTAAAAAAAAAAAATTCCTTTGAGGCACACCTAGGCAGCTCCAGTGACGCCTTCTGCCCACTCTCTCAAAATAGAGATGGCAACCCTCAAGCCCAGCCTCATAGGGCGCCTAGGCACAACCTGAGGCGAGCCTTTTAAAACATTGGGAGAGACTAAACTTCCAATCTCAAAAAGAGTTGCATGCTATACAATATATATATATATATATATATATATATATATATATATATATTATTACGTTACAAAAGATTTTTCGATGGCATTTCCTGGACTTACTAGCTTCCCAAGCGTTGAAGAAAAAGGCCTAGTTACAACATTGAAAGTTGAAACAATAGCTGAGCACTTGCCAAAATGGATAGAAACATAATTGGGTGCAGCGTTGATGAAATGTTTCGATGCCCTAATGAAGATTCAGAAGGAATACGAACTTTCATCAACGCTGCACTCAATGATGTTTCTTCAATCTGGATCCTCCAGTGCTTCCTCATTAACTGTATGACTGATTTGAGCCCCATACATAATATATATTGGGTGCGGCAACTAGCAATACATTACATTGAAGATGCAGTACACAAAGTTGTATTCAATCTCTTGACCTTGTACTACCAGCTCAAAACTGCTGCTGCTCTCTAGATTTGTACTGCTGACTATATATGGTACTGATCAAATTTGTTGTACTACACTACACGCCACCTAGATTAACCCCAAACACCCCTCTCTGTAGATCTATTATTTTCTTTAATTATCATGATTAATTATTAGATTATTTTTCTTAAGAGAGATTAAGTTATGCACGTAAAAAACAATAATGAGTAGGTCCTGTTATAGGGCAAATATTCTTTGAAAATTACATGGCAATAACCCTAATTTCAAACCAGATTCTTTATTCTTTTAGGGTGGTGTTATCTACACACCCATTTTTACTTCTTACACACTCCTCTCAATTTTCGACCGTCGGACCGAATGAATTGAAAAAGATCATGAACAAAAATTAACAAGGTGTGTGAGAAATAAAAATGAGTGTGAATAACACTACCCTTCTCTTATTGTAACTATTTTCAAACTCTCATTTTCTCTTTTTGCACTGCTCCTTTTATTTTCATGCCTTGATTCTCTTTCGATTTATTCCTTTAATATCTAGAAAACAAGAAAGAAATGCAGGAAGAAATAAGAGTGCGGAAATCACTTCTCTTTATATAAGAATTAGGAGATGAATGTTACCATCAGACCCTTTGGAAAATGACAAAAT